TGACCAGCACACTAACTGCAGGAACGAGAGGGACGAGTGGTACCTGAAGCATTTTGCCAGTCCTTATTGTAATTTCTCTGGGAATTTATCCTCTCTTTTTTCCCTTTTGTTGACTCTCCAGCACACTCACTAGGAATATTCGGGGCAACGAACCCTGAACGAAATTTGGGCATCATTTTGATGATGGAAGCAGATCAAGAGGAAAGCAACAGCAGAGAGCGATCCGAAAGCGAATGCTGATATCCGACCCAGCGAGCTCTGTGCAAATCCGGTGGCGAATACTGTACTGATACCGGCATCACCGATTATCATCGTGAAAACACACCACGTCACCAGTCTGCCTGGCTCAAGAATATTCAGCCAGCGCTGGCCTGGTGCCCACGACTTTATTCGGCCACCTAAAATTGGAGCCACGTTGAAATGTCGTTTTCAAAGATCTACATTGTGTGAGAACAAAATGCTGCCAGAAAAACTTCGCCTTCTCGTTGTAGTGGTCTAGACAGTATTTATAACCAATCCGGTTGTGCCTGCATTTTGCAGTAACCTATCTTGGCATCATCTGACACACAAGCATATCACGGTTGATCCCCAACAGGTACAGCCATGACTAATGTAGAGGTGATTCGCGCTCCTCGTTCCAAAGTGCGAATGATTTTCATGCGTTTTTGTGTTAGTATTGCAAAAATGCATAATGTTGAATTTTTGCGCGTATGTATCCACACATTTCCAAATCTACGAAAGCTATAAAGCTCAGTTTCTAAATCCTCGTTCGCCAGCACAGGTGAATCACCAGAGGCAAAATTGATGTTCATTTCCTCTTGCTTACCGCCTGCAGATTCTTACTTACACGTACTAAAATGGTGAGAAGTGATCTCGGCAAGGATGTTCACTTACCGTTTCTTTCAGTCATATTAATTTCGTTAACCGTTGGCCGATAGCGCAACACGATCACGCAGGCCGAAACGATAGTGTATGCGAGGAGTGTTCCGATTGACAAAAATTCTACCAGTGTTTCGATGTCAAACAGAAATGCTATAATAGAAGTGGCGGCACCGAACACGACCACAGCATTCAGCGGCACCTGAAGCAACGTATCCCTCAGTCGATTTGGCCAACTTTTTTCTAATGTTTGGTTGTGACTCGATGAACATG